CTATTGGCCCACAAAGCTTAAAAAATCTATTACCTGGCCAATCCTCAGTTTAGAATAAAAATTGACATAAACATACTATCAAATCAACACTTGAGAAATTTTGAAATACAATTAGATATGCTTTAATATAAAATTATTTATACAAAAGACTGTACCACTTCTTCAAATGTGAAAGAAGTGATTATGTTATTATGAAGTCACTTTTTTAAAAAGATATAAATAGCCCTTGTCTTTCCCTTTCCTGAACAATTTGGGAAGGGGTATTATTAGAACCCAAGTAAGTGACTAGAAGGTTCTCATGGGGATGGCTTGGAACAGAGTCAGAGCTTGAGTGAGGTAACCGGGCATCTATGTTATGGGGACAGCCTTGTGCAAGGTGTCACACCCTGAGCAGGTTAAAGAGGGCATCCACTGAGGCGAAAAGGGAAACGTCCCCGTACAGGGTGCCAGAGTCCAAGTGAGCTGAGCATCTACCCAGGGAGAGGACAGCAGTGGCAATGGGAGGATAGATCAAATGGGAGCCAGATTTCCCACTGCCAGAGAAGAGAGGTACAAATATGGAATGAGAGAAAACCAGAATGAATCCTATGGTGTTGGATTGGAATATCTTTTACCAAAAAGCAAAGTCACTCAAAGTATGTCAAAAGGACACAGAAGTCAGCCTAAAGGGACTTTTATTGGCTAAATTGAGGGCAATCTGAGCATCAAAATAAATAGTGATAGAAATGGATTATACCACATTGAATAAAATAGACAACTATGAGCCCATACAGATATAAATAAATGAATAAACAGATTTTGACAAAAAGTGAGATTTATAGTTTCTAAGTACAGAAAATACTTATTCCAAAGGGAAAAAGAGTAACTTTACAGTAAAGAAACCTGACAAACAGCATCCTAATAAGTGATGAAGGTGAACACTGTCAATAGTGGGACAAATCAAAATTGTATGCCACCTGATGGAATGCAGTGACAAAACACAGCACCCTTCTGTGATATTCCTGTCCAAGATGCATAACCTAAATCACAAAAAAACATCAAGCAAATCCAGACTGAGGGGCATTCTACAAAACACTGGTCTGAAATATGCAGAAGTATCAAGGTCATTAAAGACAAGCAAAGACTGAGATACTCTTCCAAGCTAATGCGGACTAAAGACGATGATAATGATTCTGAATTGGGTATTATTGGGACAACAGGCAGCACTGGAGTATGGCCTGAGTATTAAATGTAGTACTGTACCAATG